AAAAGGAGATAAACCTTGCCTATAAGAATTACTTTAGAGAGAGAGTATTAATACAGTTTATAGTCAAAAGCTATTTATTAAAGTAATAACAAGAAGAGCTATCCTTAGGTTTCTGTTTCTAAAGAATCCTAAGATGTGTTTATAATATTAAAGAAGAGAGAAGTGTCTGTTGCTTAATCACACTTAGAGAATTTAATAAAGTTTATATATCTGTAAGTTTAGCAGCTAAGTGGCCAAATGACTAAGCAATTAAGTAACTAAATGACTAAGCAACTAATTAATTACTAAGTGATTGGAAGGTTCTAGCAACTAATGACTAATGATTACTAAGTAACTAATTACTAAGCAACTAAGTAACTAAGCAGCTAAGTGACTAAGTGACTAAGTGACTAAGCAACTAAGTAATTACTAATTAATTAGAAAGTTCTAGCAACTACTAGTAATAATAATAATAATACAATAATAGAATAACTAATACTAAATAATAATAATAATAAAATAATAACTAATAATAATAAAATAATAATAATTTATTCTATAACAATGCTTAAACCTTTTAGTTATGCTAGTATAATACAAGTTACAGGTATTTAATCACAAACAATCACAGAAGTCAGTTAACTGTAATACAAAAAGAATTGCAAATTTTCACTATTATTAGAATTTAAAATTTTTTTTTTTGCTTATACTAAGGTCATAATTATTAATGACTATTGTCTTTATTGTATTTTAATTATGATTACATAACTTGTACAAGGTGAATATACAACTAATCATATATACAACTTTTAGTTGTCTATTTTAAATAGTCTGCTTACATAGCAGATTCTACACTAACTGCTATATCTGCAATCTATTAGGAGATTACCTATTTAAACATTCTGATTTCTATACTTATACTAACAAATAGTGCATAAGTTTCTATACATCTAAGTGCTATCTAATCTAACCATAACCTTCCTGTCTGTACATTTGTTAAGCTGTTACATATTTCAGAATATATTATTTAACTATAAGACTTCAGAAGCCTTCTTGCTAACTAACTACTTACATTTAGTCTCTTGTTAACAAGACTTGCCTTTATAGAGTTTAACTAGTTTACAATACTAACTTTATAGCATATTCTTAGTACTTATAATATATCTTTATTTTTGACCTTAGACTCCCAAGCCAGATAGTCTAATAAGACTATAACCTGTTTTTAGTACTTTAAAGTTTGCCTTCTAAGGTTCTTTTTTTCTAATTTGAGACTTCTGGCACCTCTCATCTGAGGTTCTTGTCTGCCCAATTTTTTTTATATTAGTATCTGTTTTCTAGATCTAAACTTTATAATAGTATTGTCAAAAATCTGTGCTATCTTTCTAGTCAGATCTTTTCAAATAAGTTTTAGTTTCTTAGTTTACAGATTTACATAACCATAAGAACTTATCTTAGGTTTGTATTACTCAATGCTAGTTTGTATTTTTTTGTATAACTCAACATTGCACAGATGCCTTATAACCTGTTAGTCATCTGGTATAACTATATTACAGATACTAATCTCAACTGATTAATAGAATGCCATTGCTATAATACTGCTTACATTTTGTAATACTAATATAATATAGATGGTTTTTCAAATTTTTACTATCAGTGGGGTTTGAACTTCCAATCTATCACTTGAAAGGTTAACAACTTAACTACTTCACTAAGTCACCATACTCTTTAGAATTTGAATTCTAAATTTGTTACTTGAAGATTAATAACCTAACTACTTCACTAAGTCATTACACCTCTATTTAACAATATTTTTATATATTCTAATATTTCAATCTTAATATTCTTTTTTTTTTTGTTTTTGTTTTTTTTAATATTAAAATAAGTATTTGTAACTTAGGATTTTATTGATAATGTATTTAACTAATAGTTATATTACAATCACAAAAGGCAACTATGAAAAAAGTATACAACTAACCATTTGTACAACTTTAGTTATTGTCTAATTTAAGCAATTTACTCAAAAATTTTATACTAGTTGTTATACCTAAAACCCTGCTTGTAAATTTTCTATTTAAACACTCTGGTTCTCATATCCATCTATCCACCTCTGCCTACTAATGACACTAACTAATGCTAATAAAAATATGTCATAATTACTAAGTTTTTAAAACAATCATAATATTCTAAATTAAAATGATTTTGAATATTTAAATAAAGTAATAAATGTTTAGTAAAACTTTAGGTTTTTTTGTTATTATTAGATTTTCAATAAACATCTTCTTTTAAATCATGTGATAAATTAAATTATAATTGTTAGTTATAACAAAAACCATTGAAGTTACAAGGTAAAAGTTCTTCTTGTTGTCAGTTATTGAACAATTTTTATTGGCTAATTTCTTGTCATGTGATAACATATGCAACTACATTTATCCTAGTATCACCATAAAAAATTTGCTTCACGTAATCATAGACCAATAAAAAAACCATTATTTAGTGCAACGTAACACGATCAGGGAAGTTCAAAACAAACGTCTCTGTGTCAAAAATCATCAAAAATCGCTTATTTCTCTAAAAGTTTGCATAACAAACCACCTTTAGTGCACTAACAAAAAGTTTTCCTTAAGCGATTTTACCTATATCATCTAAACCCATACCCTATTTTGAGCACTCACCCTAACCCTAACCTAACATAAACGAATTTAAAGAATTTTGTCACTGATTACGTGAGGGCGAATTTTTTTATGGCGATACTGGGTAAGATTGCAACTACCCAACAACATTACTATTTAATTTTTTCGCCACGTGATGATCTACGAAAATAAGCCAATAACGAATCTCGATTTGGTGTAACGTTGCGCGATTAGGAAAAACGTTCGTATTGTCAAAATTCGCTTATAACACTAAATCTATGTAGGAAACCGCCTTCTGCGTATTAACAAAAAGTTTTCCTTGAACGGTTTTACTAAAAAAAATTTTAAGTTCAAACCCGAACATAGACCCTAACCCTAACATAAACGAACTTAAAAGAATTTCTGTATATCACGCGATGGGAAAAACTTTGTTGGTGATACCGAGGAATATTGGGCATGCCCTATGGGCCGAGGCATGCCTACCAAGGCATTCCTGTGTTTTTACCCGTGTCCTGAACCCTAATTACGGACCCCTTATATTGGGGTTGTCTAAAGCAACTACTCAAAGAGCACCACAAAATTTTCGGTAACAGAATTCTTAAAGTTTGTTAATATTAGAGTTAACGTCTATATTAGTGTTTAGCGTTAACGAAATACATAATAAAATTGCTCAAGGAAACTTTTTGTTAGAGCACTAAAGATGGTTTATTATGCGGATTTTTGAGTTATGGAAAAAAAAGTCGGTTGTTTTTAATTTCCTGATCGTGTTACGTTAATGCTACGTTACACCTGATCTTCAACCGTGATTGGCTTTTGGTCACGTTTTGAAAAGATTTCTTGTCTAAAGCGTAGTAGCATATGCCAATCAAATTATAGAATTTTGATGATCGCCGGTGAAACGGCAGTCTAAACCTACCTCGGGTAGGTTAATTAAAAATGTCGAGAAGGCAATTTTGCTAATATATAAATATCTAAAATCCAACCTAACCCTAATATAAGATGGCCCTAACCCTAAAGTTAATCCAATAAAATTATATATTGTGTAAAGAATCTACTCTGTCCCCCTTAGGCATGATCACTTTTACCATATAAAGCCATGTTAAAATTAAAGGTTTTTTTTTTTTGCAAAATTTTAAATATTCATTGAGTTACGATTTGGAGCCTTTAAATGATTTGCACCTTAGCAAGGCTTTATTATACGTACCTTTAAATTATGTATATATACTGTATAACTTAGCCGAGCAATTAATTTACATCGATAAAAACATGTAGGACAATGTTCGTGAACACCGCTACCACAGATATGGGACACGGACATCCCAGCAATTTTGATATATGGCATACCGCACTTATACGGTTATACGGCATACGACACTTCTACTTATACGGCAAATGTGCCGTATTGCCGTGATATTTTTGTTGGGGTACGTAGCTAAAGATCACTTTTTTAAACAAGAACGATCATTTTTCTTATTGGCACTAAGAATCTTTATTTAAACCGGCACATTATTATTATTATTGAAATTCTCTTTCTTTTTTTAGAAAAGAGAGATCTCTTGCGGATCGGTTCCGAAGAGGCTTGGTGAATTCTGAAATAAACAATGGCACTTGTAGATCGGATTAATTCCTAATCTGGTCGCCGCATATTTTTCATGAAATAATCTATTTTCAACAAGATATTAATAAAATAATTAGATATGTTTAATTAATTTTATAATTATTATGGACATTGTCCAATACCTTAGGGTCTAAACAATTATTTGAATATATTGGACAAATTGAACGTAGTCCAAATTCCCAAATATCCAAGAATCGGAATTTAAGCAGTCAATTTTTTTTTTTGGCCTTTGACTGGCCAAAATAGTCAACAGCAATGGCCAATAGCCAAAAATTTCTAACCTATATAATATAATATTGACCAATCATATTACTAGCTCTTCTACATGAATATTTGACCATTTCGGACAAATAATTTTTTTTGTCCAATTAGAGCATTGGCTGTGGCCATTGACCGTGGCAAGTGGCCGGTCAAATGGTAAATAACAACACTGCCTTAGTAAAAGTAGAAACCAGTGTAAAACTACGATTCTGCGAAAAGTTCAACACGTATTACGTATCTCCCGCGACATATTGTCACGAGTAAAATAAGGATTATGCTTTCGGAATAACGTAATAATATGCGCCTCGATGCCTTCCGGTCCTCTGACTAGGTCGGGATATAGGAAATGGAAATCCGTTGTGGGAGGCTTGGTGCATATTAACTAGAAAATCCTTCCTTTTTTTATGACACTATTTTTATTTTATGTACGTACGTACATTGCCATTACACATCCACTTTTAATTTTTAGCATTAGATTTTCAGACATCCACAATAAAAGTTAGCGAGTAGTAATGATTATTAAAAAAGAAGACCTTCAAGAACTTGACTCAATTTATAATTTAGATGGTGTATCACTTGCACCAGCTATAATCAATGTTCAAAATGATGAAATTGTACACCAAGTATGCTCTTATGATAGATATTTTTCTATACTCTCCATGGATATAACATTAATTATTTTTGAAATTTTCATTTTGTTCAGCGAATCTTACTATTATATGGGCGGGCTGGTCCTAGAGATTTAGCATATCATTCGAACATCACTGTTGAGCATAATGCTGATAATTTTCCTTCTACTACATGGCCAATTTTTAACTCTCATTTTAAGTGCCTTGTTCATCTTGATCCAGGTATTTCTTTATTAATTAATATTTGAATTTCTATTAACTTTTTACTAAAATTCAAATAATCCATAATAAAGGACCAAATAATATCCGGTTCACTTTTGATCCTGATTCATTTTCACCAGGAATGAGTCCTTTGTCAACTGTTATCACAATAAACTACATACCAATGCTACAAAATCCTCCGTTGCATTTGGCTATACTTGTTGCAAAAGACTCGAAATGTGTTATTGATGCCTCACCAGAGAAGGTTATCCCCAGAGATAATAACTTGGATACCGTTAAGGCAAAATTTAGGTGTGCTGCTTATCTATGGCAAGCTTTTACCGCTGAACAAATGTATCGTAACGGATTTGAGAGGAGGTAAATATTCAATTTTATTGACTATCATATATATGGCTTTATTAATATGGTTTTCTAAATTGTTAAAATGGTTAGAGTTTTTCGGATAGAAGAAGAATGGCAGCAAGGTAATATTTAAATATTTTTTGATTTATAAAGATATATTGAAAATGCTACTATTATTAAATAAATTTTTATTTCTTTAGATACACTTTCTAACCAAGAATCAAGCTTACGTCAAACGGCAAAGATTCACATAGTTCGTACACAATATACATTAGAAGAGTTATTAGATCCAGATCGTGCACAACAATATAAACCACCACCCGGTACACCACCTACCACAAAGAAGGATTTATATTCCATTTTTATGGAGGCTTTAAATGAGTATGGTGCACCTTTTGACAAGCAATGTTATGTAGCCGGATTAATACTCGACTCTCACTGGGATCCTAAAATGAAACTAATTCGAGGACATGCTGCTTTAGGTGGTGGTGCCTCGAACATTCGTCTTGGAATTTTTGGTAGTCATATGACACATGCCTGGCCAAGATATTTGGAAGAAGTCGTGGATTGTTTTCAAGATGAGACACAAACCGATGAAAATATTTTGGCAAATGATAACAATGAGTCTGGTACTTGGTGGAGGTGTTGTAATATTGGAATTGGTGCGATGGTAAGGTGGTTCTTTTATTTTTTTTGTTATATAAAAATTTTCTATGACTATTAATTAATTCCAACGTCATTCAAGTTGCATGAAGTTGGACATGCTTTGACTTGTCCACATTCACCTTCAGGTAAATATTAGATCTTTACCATTATTTATTTAACAAAATAATATAAATATATATACAATTTAGTTGCGTTCGTATAAACTCATGTATGTTATTAACAATAGGCATTATGATGCGAGGATTTAACAATCTTAATCGTACTTTTACTGTTAAAGAACCCAACAACATTCAACCAATAACACCATCAGACGAGAGGTATGTATGATAAATTACTAATATCTCGCGCTTGCAAAATTATATGACAACCAGTGTGTGAAATTCAATGTTCTCCATGTTCTCTGAGAACACAAAAATTTTACACTTATGTGAGAACATAAAAAATTTCAAAATTTATTATATGTGAGAACATAAAATTAAATCCGAATTTCATACACTGGTGACAACATGTAAGTCGGATTTAGTATAATATGCTTAAAGCCAAAATGTGTCAGTAATTTACTGTATGTATTACCATGTTTCTGGTTAAAAGTGGTGCACACTGGCACAGATGCGATACAATTAGATTCCGATATCATCCTTGTTTCCGTATTCCTTCTGACCCTCCAAAATCCATTGCGCATAAGGATTTGAGTCCAGACTTTTGGCCCTTGGATAATTCTTTTCTTATATGCTGCTACTCTGGAGTTTCCTTAGCGGAGGTTCATGTAAATGGAAGTTACGTATATCATGTTGAATTTCTTGATGAAAGAATTCATGGAGATGACGTTGAGTTGAATTTGCAAGATATCATGAACCGTGTTAGTTGGAAGCATGGTGATGAAATTACAGTTCATGTTATAGGTAATTCATTTCTTAATTAGTTGTTATATTGTTATAAGCTTGAATCGGTAACGGTATATTTATTATTATTATTTTTTTTATTTTTAATTTTAGGCAAAAATCAAACAGAGAACACTTTACAAAATGTACAATCATTCCTAAATGATAGTCGTATTGTACTACCAACATATGGGGAAGTATTGAAAAGTGCAAGGTTAGGAAGGAATAAAGGACAGGGGTACCAAGCTATTTTCAGTAATCCACAATCTTCTTTCCCCAAGTCATCCTCATCTTCAATTTATTCATTTTTATCAAGTAAATCATATTTATCTCAAATAATCATAAGAGCTGGTGCTATTGTTGACTCAATTACGTTTATTTGGTCTGATAATACGGCGATAGTGATAGGTGGGAATGGAGGCGATGAGCATGAATTTACATTGGATGAAGATGAGAAAATTATAGGACTGAATGTTAGATCTGGATGGTATATTGATGGAATTGAAATTAAAACTAATAAAAAGAGTAGTGGGTGGATTGGTGGACTTGGTGGATCAATGCATCTTTTGCATGTGCCTAAAGATCACGAAATGATTGGAATTTATGGAAGTGGCGAATCCTATATCAACTCTTTGGGTATAATTTATAAAAAATTGTAAGCCTTCTGAGTAGGTTAAGTGCGAGATGGAAATAAATGTATTTAAAGTTATAGAATTCTTTATAATAGACATACTGTATAAACTTTTTATATTGTTTCAACATGTTTATGTTTTTTTACCAAAATGAAGAATTCAATAAATATATTCATGATTAGACTAAGTTATGCAATCCTATAGGTACGTACGTACATTTAACCTATCATTAAAGGCATTAGAAATTTTTTTTTTTAATTCATTTCAAGCAATGGGTAGTAATTATCAAACCTTTCAATTTTAACTAACTTTTTAAATACATTATTTAGCATCCTACTTTATAAATTCTTTCTCATAGTTAAGAATAGCAATAAGGTTCAATATAATATATTTTAGGAACCAGAAACTAGTATAGGTCTAGTGCATAAAATTTTATATGAGTGACGCTAAGGGAAAACCAGCTCTGGGCTTTCGAATTATTTATTATTTACTAGACTCAACCTTGAAATGATACGTAAGTAATTTAATTACGTATTATATATGTCGTTAGTCAGGTCTAAGTCTAGTAAGTGAATAATAATTAATAAACTTGAAAGCCAGACCTGACATCGGAATTTCAGTCTATCTGATTTTTTAAGACTGTTTCCGGTAAATTATAAATTGAAGAGAGAAATAATCGGATTCATCCTTGAAAAATCTTTATTAGATATGCAGCAAAAACGTAATTTCAATCATCAAAGTGTATAGGCATTGAGTTCACCGGTAATTAAGGCATTTGTTCTTTTTTCTAAAGGAAAAAAGAGGAACATGTACCCCAAGTTTTACATGCGTGAGAACGTTCTGATTTTACTAATAAGGCAATCGATATAACTATATAGAATCAAATTAATCACTTTTTCTTTGGTATGACGCGTTCATTTTAGTCAATTCCATCTATTTTTATGTTTAATGCTTTTTTTGTTATATAAATTTTTCGTAACATTAAGTTTGAAGGGTACTAAAATAGCAAAGATGAAACATTTGCCTAACGTCAATCTAGGATATAAATATGATCATAAATTGATCAAGGTAATAAAAGAATGTGGGTTTAAAAAAAAAAGAAAAAAGAAAAAACTCGCTAACGTGTGAGAAGGTGATAATCGTGAAGGAATAAATGATGAATTATAAAGTACGTGGCGGGACTGGATTTGAAGACGTTTTTTTTTTTAATATTTTATCCAAGCTAATACATTATTTGCGTGAATTATCGGATCCAATAATCCCGAATTTAAATGTTTAAGCATGATTTCAACCGATTTCCTTCCTGGATGCAGGCTAAACAATAATCCAAAAGGCTTTTTGTTTAACCTATTTGCACATACATCAAGGAAGTCTGATAATGCAAAATAATCGAATTTCCAGGAACCAACAAAGCAAAGTATTCGTAAATTTTTCGGTATGTTTTCTCCAAAAGATAGAAATTTTTGAGATATATCCGAGTATTCAGAATGATCACATTTGGTATTCGCGAGGTTACGTACATTATCGGTATAAAACTTTACCTCTTGTAGTAAGACGCATGCAAGGAATATATTTAAAATGTGACTACCCTTGGAATTCGGAATGGTTATCTCCAAATGTGTTATACTTGTACAAGAATCAATGATCGTGTTAATAATGCAAATTTTAGGATCATTGTTTGTATGAGTTGAAGATGATGATAAATATACTTCATAGAAATCGACCGGATAATATTGCCAGACTATTGTGATGTTTCGTAAGGTATCATACGTATTGGAATTTGTGATCAGTCTCGAAATCTGGCAAAAAGTATCAGAAGTTGGATGGACGGCAATTTTCAAATCCAGAGTTTTCAGTTTCGTTAAAGAAGATTCAGCAAAATCTTCCAAGACATGATGATCCATTGATTTATAAATGTGCAATTTCAAAACTTGCAAGTTTGTGCATCCAGAAAATATCCCAAGTGAAAAATAGTCGTATGTTAGATAAACCCTTGATAAGATGTGTACCTCTTTAAGGGATTCTACTTTTTCACCAAGTGCTTCTTCAAGATATTCCCATGATTGAAGGCTTCCATTGAATTCAAAAGAAATCTTATGTAAATTATCTTGAACTTTAATTAATGTTGCAATAGCCTCGTCATTCTTATGACAATCAATAATGTGTAAGTCTTCTATTTTGTGAGCCACTTGTGCCATCTTAAAGAAGAACCCGGATGTAATACTTTCTAAACAAAAAAATAATATTTAGAAATACACATAATATATATATAACACGAATCATAATGATGGTGGCAAAATTCATGAATGGTTGTATGATGCATTGATTACCATCAGATTCAAACTTTTCGATGCGCGAGAAGAAAGAGTTTTCGCTACAAATATACGATTGCAATGGTGCCATCATTCGATTTCGAAAGGGAAGATGAATCTTATTAACATTTATAAATGAAAGATACGTAATGCTTTCGGCGCTAGTGACAAACTCCTTGCAAATTTTCTCAAGTATCACATAATGAAAATAATCTATCATGTTGCCATCATTGTCTAAAGAGAGCCATTCTCTAAAGATATCAATAAAATATAAGTAATTTAGATTGTACAAGAACGATTCATACTTGAATGTTGACTCTGTTGTGATATATTCGGGTAATTCGATTCCAACAGATTTAAGAGAATTTTTTGCATCATCGGTCAAACACCATAAATATGTTTTCGCAAGCTGCGCCTTTCTCTCTTTATTACCAAGTGTATTGTCATACACAAGCGAAAATGGGTCTTTGTAAAGAATTGGAATAACGTTTGCGCACCATGTTTTATTGACTAAAGCAAATTTCCAAATTTCCGTTACATGAAATCTTTTGATAATTTGTTGATAAATTTCTGTTGGGATCAGAGGGATCATGCCCGCCACTAGATTAAAATCAAAGTTAAATGCTAATAACTCGGAAGAAGATTATTTCCTATACGAATGATACTGCGAGACAAAAGGATGAGCTACAGATGACATTTAAGATATATATTTATATCAATTTTTGGTGATCTCTGATTGGTCCTTAGGAATAATTGGATTTTATAATCAGCCACTAATTACGTGGCGGTGTCATGTTTTTGAACACGAATATTCGGGTTATAGCAACTAAATTACTGTATTTGATATAAAATCGGAATACATGTGTAAAATTTTGTAATCCAAATTTGTCTAAAAAATGTGTGCGTATCGGTACACTGTACGTATAACTGTGGCACCGATTTTCACTGATCGCCATGGACTGACCAATCAGATAACATCTAAACAACTAATACGCGCAATTTTTTAGTCATGAGGGATTTACAGCAAAATTTTGCAAGGAATTTTTTTATTAGTACGCAGAAGGTAGTTACATAGACGAAATTTTTAGTTACAGACGGCAAACAAAAATCAGTGACAAACAAAAAACATTTGTTTTGAAATTTTATGTTTGTGTTATGTTACACCGTTTCTTGAAATCTGATTTGTGGATCTGGGATCTGCGCCACAATGATCGACAAAACCTGCACCTGATCTTGTAATATAATTGGTTAAAATCCATGTCGATCAGTGAAAATCGGTGTCACTGGCAATGGGTTCTGGCATCTTCTATGGTCCTAGTCACTGGGGTATTGTAAAAACTGTCATTAGGTTAAGGCTACGTTTTCTCTACTAGGCTAAAGTTCGAAGGCTACATTAGTATCCAAATTTAGTAGGAAAGTTTGTTTTTTTTAACACGTGGAAAGTAGTTCGTTTTTTCGCATTTTATTGAAATTCGTTATAAATAAACGTCGCAGCAGAAGTTGGAAACAGCTGAAGATAGAAATTTTAATTGCGAAATTAAACATAGTAACTGAAATAAATTTTAAGTTTGCTAAAATTTGATTATGGCTGGCAATTTTGATTACTTGGTTACTACCTTAACTAAACGCACGTGCACGGTCATCGTTTCGGTAACAAATAAGATATTAATTTTTTAAAAAGCAATTCTATTTGAACACTAGTGTATAAAACACGGGTATATTGGTATCTAAAATCCTAATAATAAAACAGTTTTTAGGTTCTAACAAAAAATATTCCTCGTAACATTTAGTATAAACTGTAACCTAAAGCTAACCTTACTCTAACTTTAAATCGGATTTAATTTTTTGGTTTATAATTTTATCTTACACAGATTTGTTAAATGAATTAATTAATACCAGTGCATATAACATCCGTGTACAATTAGAAATTTCCTTTTTAAAATTGATATTACCAGTCAGCCGACATATCGGAGAGTTTATACGTATGTAGATTTGCATACTTATTGATCCAATTATTAGACGTACCTAAATAAACTTATATTTTCGGTTTTCATATTACCAACTGATCCGCTGACCTGGATTTTAATTTTTTTTAATAAAAAAATTTTTAATAAAAATTTTAAACCGTACAGACTTATACTATTAGTTTTTTATATAACCAACTACTCTTCAGCGACCTGAGGATCTGGATTTCAAAATTTTTTGACACAATTTTATATGCTAAAAATTTATTAATAACACGAGTGCGGATTCTTTATGTTTGCTAGCATTCTATCTTTTCACAAAATTGAAATCCTTTTACATAGTCTAGAATAAAATTTAAATAGTTATATAATATAGTTTTGCTCATTAGACTCGTATTAAGGATCTAAAAATAGTGATGAACTTTCTAATACTTTTAAATTATTATTCAATGATTATATGTAAGCACTTGATCTTGTTAAAGAGTCTACAATAAAAGAATAACTTTAAAACTATTGAATTAAATTTATACTAAACTGAAAGTTAAGGTAAATTTGACATATAATGATAATATGAACTAGGAAAAATAAGATAAAGTAATTTGTAATTATGATGATTTATATTTTGTAATAAGTTTATTATAGTAATTCTTACATGCTTTTTTTTGTATATAAAAGTTACAGTTAACTGTTCTTGATGTAATGTCATTTAAATAATTTTTTAAAATATGATTTAAAAAAGGTTTTAATTATT